CTGTGCAGTCAATTCCAATTTATAGCAACCCTATGTAGGGTTTCCCGGGCTGTAAATCTTCACAGAAGAGAGTCTCATATTTCTCTGGCAGAGCACATGGTGGATTTGAACTGCTGACCTTGTGGTTAGAAGTCCAACTTGTAACCCACTAGCAGAGCACATGGTGGATTTGAACTGCTGACCTTGTGGTTAGAAGTCCAACTTGTAACCCACTATATTAAGGCTTTTTTTGGATGAGTGTAGGACTCCTGACAAGTGAAGCATCTGATGTGGAAATGGTTGTTGTGGACTTGAACAACTTCTACTTTGCATGTGTCCCCACCTTTGTAGCACTGGATGACAATGGCCCCACCCCAGGGATTGTAAGGATCCTGCTGATAAGGTATGCTGATGTTCATGGTGATGCCTTTGCACTGGGTCTTTCATTCAATACTCAGGCCTCGGTTGTCCTCGAAATCTCCCATGGACCTCACATATCACTTCTCAGCCAGAGTCGGGAGCCAGAGGTCGCTGGCCAGGACTCTGCAACTACTTCATGAATCCTGGTTCTGGTCTGGGATCTTGGATTTGAAGGTGAGCAAAGTAAAATAGGACTAAGTGGGACTGAGGTAAAAAAAATGATGCATGCACAACCTTGGAACAACAGGGATCTGGGATATAGGGATTGAGACATGGTTGGAATGGGCAAAATGGGGTAAATAATGTTAAGATGTTTGGCTGTCTTTTGAATCTTGGTTTCCCTTGCATACCACTATAAAACAGACACTTGAGGGGGAGAGAAAAGAATAGCCAGAAATATCACCATAGAAAGCTTGTAAGTCCGTCTTCTGCCCATAACTGATTGGAATACCTAAAATGGGGCTACAACATGCCCAGTGAAGGAAGCTTCCTGAGGAGCCTCTGGATTACATGAAACCATAGGTGGAATCCTGAACCCTATTAAGAATCTTTTGAGGTGGGAAATTTCCACTTGAGAGGACAAGCAGACCAGCCTGGAGTGGCTAGAAGAACAGAAGATACTTCTTGAAAGAAAGACTGACAGGAAAAATACAAAACAATAACAGTAGTCCGATTGACTACTATAAGAACAAGCAAGTTGCTCACCCAGCAGACATCAAGGCAAGCAGTTGGATCCCCTCAGGGCAAACTACCTTCCAAGACTAAGACTCAAGGGAAATAGAGAGTAGAAACGTGCTCTGAATGGCGACCACGTTCGTCACTGATAAAGGGAAGTAAGGGGAAAACAGCAATGAAGTCCAACCACATTCAATACACTCCTGTGAACCTGGGTGGAGACCTGGTTGACCAGCAGTGTGGCAAGACCTGGGGACTCCTGGGCCCAGAGTCAGTGACATAGCCACAGAGGACTAGAGTGGAGAGTAAAGCATCCAGCTGATAAGAAGAGAAGGTATATGCATAAGAACACCCACACTTACAGATAATACCCACTTGACCTGGCTTCAATGGCTGGATGATCAGAGCTCAGTTAGAAGAAAAGACCGTCAGATAAAAAATGACAAATACTAGTCCACTTCAGCTCACTAATGCCTAGAATACTCATGTATATGTATTCTGCTTCACTTTTGACAACTTCCAATTTTCCTAGATTCATACATCATATAGTCCATGTTCTGATGATTAATGGATGTTTACAGCTGCTTCTCATTTTGATTTTGTCCCATCAACAAATGAAGGTCCTGAAAGCTTTACTCCATTCGCATCATCACAGTCAACTTTACTTTGAGGAGGCAGCTCTTCCCCAGTCACATTATGAGTGCCTTCCATCCAGAGGGACTTACCTTCTGGAATCCTATCTGACAATATTCTGATCCTCTTCATGTTTTCATTTTCTATTACTGTATCTGACAATGTCCTACTGCTATTCTTAAGGTTTTCAGTGACTAAACATTCAGAAGGAGTCTGCTTCTCCTCCTTCCCAGTCTGTCTTAGTTTGGAAGCTTTTATGAATCCTGTCCTCCATGGGTGGCTGCGCTGGTATTTAAAATACTGATGGCATAGCTTCCAGTATCACAGCAACACACAAGCCATCACAGTGTGACTAACTGACAGATGAGTGGTGGCAAGCGTCACATAAAAGACCTCAAAGTCTTCACTTGGGCCATGAAAGAAAACCTGTTTCTTGTTGTAGCAGAGCTGATACAGCCAAAAACCAATGCATGTGTCTTATTTTAAGATCAGCTGGATTACACCACCAGCTGAATTCCCAACCTGGAATGGTGTCTGACACCAAAGTGAAGGCACTGATTGGGAAGAAATGGGATTCTGAAACTTGGGATGGGGACATATGGGCACATAATCAGGAAGCTGGGGACATAGTGCCTATAAATTCCATTGAATTACTCTTGTCTGCAGGACCACCTTCCCATCTGAGATTACTCCATCTTTAACCTGCTGATCCATTATCTGTAAAGCCATTATCCCTTTTGCCTATAAATGATGAGATTAACCCAACTGTGCCTGCTGAGATGCCTGAGATATTGGCTTAGACTTCTCCTAAGTTGTCTTATAAGACATTGCTGAATATTTTCAAGAAACACCTTCACCAATTATTACTTCTACACCTATGAACAGACTTCAGTACCAGTGAGCTCCAAAAGGTGAAGTACAAATACTGATCCAGAAAGAACTTCGCTACACTTCAAAAGGGTCCCACTGAGGAAGGACGCCACTTCACTGCCTGCTGTTAGTTTTTCTCTTTCTATGACCTTTTACAAGAAATGACTGTTCGCTGGAGGGAAGGAAATAATCAGACTTTTGGGGGATTACTGGACAGTGGCTCTGAATTTACATTAATTCCTGGAGACCCCAAAAATCACTGTGATCTTCCAGTCAGAGTGGGAGCACGTGGAGGTCAAGTTATTAACGGAATCTTAGCTAAGGTTCCCCTCACTGTTAGTTCAGTGGGTCCCCTAACTCATTCTACAGTAATTTCCTCAGTTCCAGAATACATATACTCAGCCACTGGCAGAAACCCCACATTGGATCCCTGAAATGTGGAATAAGGGCTATTATGGTTGGAAAAGCCAAGTGGAGAACATTAGAACTACCTGTACCTAGGAAAATAACAAAGCAAAAGGAATACACACATTCCTGGAGGGATTGCAAAGATTAGTGGTACTATCAAGGACTTGAAGGATGCAGGGGGACTGATTCCTATCACATCCCCATTTAATTCGCCTATCTGAACTGTGCAAAAAAAACAGATGGATCTTGGAGAAGACAATGAATCATTGTAAACTTGACCAGTTGGTGACTCCAGTTGTAGCTGCTGTTACAGATGTTTCGTTGCTTGAGCAAATTAATGTATCTCCTGGTACCTAGAATGCAGCTATTGATCTTCTTCTCACTTCCAGTTTCTAAGGATCATCAGAAGCAGTTTGCCTGCAGCTGGCAAGGTGAACAAAACATCTTTACTGTCCTAACTCAGAGGTACATCAACTCTTTAACACTATGTCAAAATTTAGTCCACAGACATCCTTGCCACAGGGAATCACACTGGTCCATTACCTTGATGACATTATGTTGGGTGGACCTAGAGAGGAAGAAAAATAAATGACCCTAGACTTGCTGGTAAAATACCCATATGCTGTTGTTGTTAAGTGCCGTTGAGTAGGTTCCAACACATAGCGACCCTTCACAGGGTTTCTGAGGAGTGGCTGGTGAACTTGAACCACCAACCTAGTGGTTCAAACTGACCTTGCAGCCCAGTGCATTAATACACAGTGCCACACCAGGACTCCAAGATAACCATAAAACACTTAAATTTATCCAAATATTTTCTCAGTTACTGTGTTAACCATTGTTTCTTATATCCTATACCTCCCTCGGAGATTTATCCTTTAATAATTCAATTATCTCAAAATTTATATATCTGAAAATGTTTTCATTTTGTCCCCATCTCATGGTTTAACTAGGTATGACATTCCAGGTTGATGATTACTTTGTATCAGCACTTTGAAGAAATACTGCATCATTTTCTGGGATTTCCTATTGCTGATAAAAAGTTTGCTGCCAGTATTAACAGTTGTTTATTTGTATAGAAAACTGCATCTAAGGAGATTTGGTAGGAATTTATGCATATTGCTAGAGTTACTGCTCCATACAGGAATCTGGACTGCATGGGTTATGGGAGAGAATCAGGACAGAAGTGTCCTTGCTCCTTGCAAAGCAGCAGGACTTAACTCAAAAGACACTTGGTAAGAGAGGGTACATATAAATATCACCTAGCCTCAGTACGTGCTCACAAGACTAACAGTCTGTATTACGGCATGAAAGGAACTGCTGAGGAACCTCACTGTCATTCTCTCCCCATGAGTTATTATTTGCATTTGTACTTTTGCTTCCAAATTCCTGTATCAGGATAATTTCGTATTTTGACCAAGTAATGCAAGTATGGTAGAAAACTATGTACACTTTTTTACTTTTAATTTTAGACCTTTCTGTCCAATGTCTTCTCTTTTTGTCAGATTACTAAATACACGGTAAAAAAAAAAAAAAAGCACACACGAAAAACATACCAATCTCTCTTTGTAGATGAAGCAGTCAAAAATCTGGCCTCTTTATTGATCACTGGTCACATATTTGGCTTGAAAAAAAGTTCAATACAACAAATAGTTCTAATGAACTAATGAAATGAACTAAAGAATTTGCCCAGCTCTCTAGATGCGCAGAGAGAGCCAACTTCCCTGGTAGATAGCACACACACAGCAGTCTTTGGGAACAGTCCCACAGAAAATATTTGTGCAAGCAGGCTAAGAAAGATGCTTATCACTACAGAAACGTCATCTAAAGCTACCCAGTCAACATATGTACAAAAATTAAGGGGAAAAAAAAAATTGTGCCCAAAAGCACATGTTTCTTGGGTGCCATTCTAATTCTATTATGATCCAAAAAGCTAGAGACCACACAAAACTGGAAAGTGGCCTGAGTGCCGAGGCTGCCTGTGGCTCTTGTTACAAATAGTTGCCAGTCTGATTTGGATAGGAATTAAAGGGTTCTCCTTGATTTCAAGAGAACTTCCCAGAAGGAGGTGGAGGACCAAGAAAGCCACCCGCCTGTTTGGTGGCAGCTCTGGAAGGGGCAAGGCCAAGAATCTTCTGGATGTTCTGTGGAGAAAAGATAAGAATTGGGTCTTTACATGAGAAGTAGAAAAATATTTTAAATAGATTTCATACAAAAAGAATACACACAAATTAAAAGTACCATTATGACCTGAAAAAGGACATTACTATTGTTAATTTTTTTAAGGCCTATAATCCCTGGTGGTCTAGTAGTTAGGATTCGGTGCTCTCACCGCTGTGTTCCGGGTTCAATTTACAGCCAGGGAAGCCTGAAGACTTCTTCTTGGAGTCTTGGTGTGACGTTGCGAATTAATGCGCCAGATTGCAAAGCCATTCGAACTGCAAGGCTGGCAATTCAAGTTCACCAGTTGGAACGGACTCAACTGCACTTAATAACAATAATGTTATGAGGAGTCCTGGTGTAGCGCTGCAGGATAATGCACTGGACAGCTATGTCTGTTTGAACTTCAAGGTCAGCAATCAGTCCAAATGCACCAGGCGCTCCTCGGATACCCTATACAGGGTCGCTATGAGTCAAAACTGACTCAATGGCACTTAACAATAAACATAATGTTATAAACATTATAAATCAGTAAAAGTTTTCTTATCTGGTGAGAATTTTGGTCTAATAACCAGTGGAGCTGATTTCTTTAAAAGTGTAGAAACCATAGTAAAAGGTAGTTTTTAAATCTTTAAGAGGAAACATAAAACACTTTCATTAGTATTTCTTGTAGCAGGGTCATTTTTTTTTATTTTTGAGTATGGGTCTTCTAGAGGAAGTTAGTTGGTATTGTACTGTCTACAATTTTGTTTCAATTGCTTTAAGTGTTGAGGAAGTGCTGAGAGGTCTTAAGAGTCTTGCAGAACAATTAAAATCTAGAATCCTTGATTTTTATTAATCCATCTTTTTCAATTGTGCCATTCATATCTAATTCAAAAGTATTTCCTTTCAGACTTATTTAGGTCTCATAAAAACAAGTTTTTTTTACACTCAGATTTCATCAGTTAATATTTATTTAATAAAACGTATATAGTTATATCAAGCAAAACCAGCATTAAAAGGTTAAGGAAAAATACAGCTGGCTTTTTAAAGGCAATGCTTCCACTAGTGGGAGAAAACAAGTAGAGATGACTACATGATGTGGGGATCAACAGGGATGCTTAAAGAGGAGAGGAAGAAGGTTTTATGGCTACGAAGAGCTTACATAGAGATCAGTGGGTGAGTTTATACAGAATTTGAGAGATCATCTACTTCTTCCTGCTCAATTCTTATTTTATCTATGAGGAAACTCAACTCTGGAAAAGAAAGGTGGCTTCATCCAAAATTACAGAGCTAAATTAAGAATAGCATTAGGATTGAAACTCATGTTTTGGTTCTTAATCTAGTCGTCTCTTAGAGTACTCTCTATGAAAGTTCTGATCTTCAGAATCCTTATTTTATGAATAAGGTTAGTATGTAAGCATTCACTCATTCAATAGTCACATACAGTACTGGCAGACTACCCATGCCCAATTTCGCTGGAAGTATGCATCCTACTCTCATCCTCATCTTAATTATGATGACCGCCACAGATATGGATATATATCCTTCTGAGTTAACACAATGTAATGTCTAAATATGAAAGGCACAATCTTAAGAATTATTAATATTTACCATAAAATATGATACATGTATATTTATTGCGCTATACCATAGCTTATGGAGTTCTGCTGGACAGTGCACTAGACTAGACAGTTTGAACTGCAAGTTCAGTGGTTCAAATTCACCAGCTGCTTCTCGGAGACTCTTTACAGGGTTGCCATGAGTTGGAACTGATTCAAAGGCACTTTAACAACAATAACCGTAGCTTATGTTTTACTTTGAAATCTGAAAACAGGTTAAGAAGAATCAAACATTAGATAAGGATTCCTCTCCTTAGTAGAGAGGGAGAAAGATATAAGCATGTATTACTTATAATAAAAATAGCTCCTTCATGTTCACCTTTAAAAAATCCACTTAACAAAACAGTAAGAAGACCAAATGATCCAATGTTATTAGTTTACAGACTCATTTTATTTAATCAATAAGTATTTACTAAGCACCTACGGTGTATCTAGTACTAAGCAAAGGATTTTGAAAAGCTACTTAAAGGAGCTCTGGTAGCGCAGTGGTTACAAATCAGGCTGCTAACCTCAGAGTCAACAGTTCAAAATTACCAGCTGTTCTGAAGGAGAAAGATGAGGCTTTCTGCTTCTGTAAAGATTTACAGTCAGACTCCACAGCACACTACCACCACTTTAAAGATAAAATTTAAGTAAGACATTACAGAATTAACTGCTGATAAAAAACATTTTTCCAGTTAACAAATACAATACTATGGTCTAGACAAAATATAAAAAGGAACCTTCCTCTGTTATTCTACAGAGACCCAAAAGATGGGAGGGGGAGGGGGGAAGAGAAGGTCAATTAAATTAGTCCTTATCCTTTTAGAGATAAAGGACCAGTACCAAAAAAAACCCTCTGATAACCCTATAATCACAGGTTTGTTATGATTTAAAGAAAATGACTGAAAGGAAAATGACCAACAGAAAACATTTTACAGAACTGAGGCACTAAAAGGTACACCGCTGACGGTTTCACTAATTCAAAACACATAAACAACTAGTGAGTTCACGTTACTGCTCCACATGAGAATAATTCAAACAGCAGCTGCTGAGACACGTTGGCAGACATTGCCAGAGTTCGTGGAAATCCAGGAAGCTCTATACTATTTTCCTTGTGATTCTTGCACTTAACAACCACAACATGTTTCAATGCACTTGAAGTTTCCAAATAGTTCCAAGGACAAGATGTTGTTGTTGTTAAGTGCCATAGTTTTGACTCATAGCAATCCTGTATAGGGTTTCTGAGGAGCTGGTGGGTTTGAACTGCCAACCTTGCAGTCAGCAGTCCAGTGTTTATCCTATAGTGCCACACCAGGACTCCAAGGATGATAGTCCCCAAATATCCCTACTTTAGGGATGAGAAAGATGAGGCAGAGGTTATAAGAGAGGACTCAACTCTAAATACTTTTCCTCTGTTAAATCACCCTCTGCAAGATCTTTATCTGTAAAAATTTCTAAAGGTTTTATCTTGGAGCTAAAAAATCTTATACTAGGCCTATAAAATACATGACAATTCTGAAGATTATGTGAGCATACCACAGAAAAATACATGTTGTTAAGTGATGTCAAGTATCTGAGGAGTGGCTGACCTTGCAGTTAGCAGTCCTTATCCTATAGCGTGCCACACCAAGAATCCAGAAAACTACATGTTGTTGTTGTTGTGAAGTGCCGTCGAGTCGGTTCCGACCCATAGCGACCCTGTACAGGGTTTCCAAGGGTGTAAATCTTTACGGGAGTAGAAAGCCTCATCTTTCTCCCGCAGAGCGGCTGGTAGTTTCGAACTGCTGACCTTAAGGTTCGCAGCCAGATTCGTAACCACTACGCTACCAGAGCTCCTTTAGAAAACTACATATATACTATTAAATAAATAAGTGTGTGTGTTCTTTTACTGTGTATAAATAAAGTATAAATGCTATACTACAACTACAAAAACTGCATATAAACACTACGAGCACACAGCAAAATAACAGTTCTACGCCCTTTTCTTATTCCCTGCTTCCCTCAACTTTTGACAACATTCCTAAATGGGATAATAAAAAGTAAAGAAAACTACTTTTGTGGGTGCCATTTCAAGGTGAAGGTCACAGCATGAAGCTCAAAGAAGAAAAATAACAGTAACATTTAAGTTAGTGAGTACTTACATACAAAGCACTTTAGATGTTTGTTCTCATTTAAGTTCCTCTAACAACTCAATGAAGCAGGCACTATTACCCTTATGTCCAGATAAACAAAAGGAAAAACCAACAGTCACACAATTCAGTACTCACTGATTATGTCAATAGGAGAGGAACAACTCAGAAAAGGAGGGTAAGAATGGATGCATAACTCTGAAACTACAATCAATGTCACTGGACTGGACAGGTAGAAATTTATGAGTTGCTATGTTTTGCTGTGTATACTCTCAAGAACAACAACAACAGAATAAATACAGTTTAAAAACACATGAATACCCATTGTGTAGCAGGCACTTTTGTATATGTTATATTGTATCATTTGTCTCTTTCAACAACCTCATTCATTAAATTTGAACTGACTGCTATCCTACAGCCTCTCAATTCTTTTATTTGAGGTCAAATTTTTAGGCCTTCTTGATTAGCAAGATTTAGTTCATAAAAATACATTTTGTTAAGAAGATAGAATTTTTAGTATGATATGAAGATAACATGTAAGAAAACTTATCAACTATTTATACAAATGTAAAATGAAATGTTGCAAGATGCGGTAAGATTTTGTATAAACCAACTATTTTTAATCTGTGTCTAGCCTGTGTAATAGGGTAACATCTGAAGAGTATACGTCAGAAGGGAAAAACAAAGGAAAAACATTTTCCCATAATCATGACTTCTGTTGGCTACTAGTACAGGATTTGTGTTCTTTCCTCTTTGTAAAGGGTAAGAACCGGTGATCATAAAAAGGAAGTTGTTGGTGGCTAACTGGATATTTTGAGAAGACCTAGGTCACCGGCAATAAACACTTTCTGCTAAATTTTATTCCTTAGTCACTTAGCTAAAATAACTCAGCTATGGGAACCCTTCATTTGCTCTCTGTTCAGTTCTCTGGCATCTGGCAACCAGCCTTGGCTTCCAATTAATCCCAATGTCTCATCAGATTCCCATAACTTCATCTTTACTATATGCACAGAAGAAACTAACATTCCCTGGGCTGTCATTATAAATGCAGAACAGCTTGTTGTTGCTAAGTTCTGTCAAATTGGTTCCAACTCATAGCAACTCTGTACAAGGTAACTGAGGAGCAGTTAGTGGATTTGAATTGCCGACCTTACGGTTAGTAGTCCAGTGATTATCCTACAGTGCCACACCAGGAGAATGAATATTAACAGAACAAAAATGACAATGCACTACTGATATACCTGAAATGTAACTGGGTTAGCAGTTAAGAAG